GTAGGAGATTCCTAGAGAACCCTGTGCTATATATACTTGAATAAAAATCCTAGCTCCCAAGAGGGTAGATGTTAAAAAAAAAATATATATATAATATAAAAATTTAGATATTATTTTCATTAAACTCTTTCTGATGATTCTCTAGCAACAATAACCAAAAAACTGAACTACAGATAAATGCTATAAAAGATACTGAAGTAAATAATAAATCAGGTTTTATGAAAGTAAGTGCATTGTCAATAAAATATCAAGAGTATAAAACCAGGAAGTGGTTTACTTTAGACTGGTTTTGTAAGAGGTCAAGCTTTGATGATAGATTTCTTTTTTCTATTTGGTATTCAAACCAGAAGAATATTTTGAAAATACAGAATATCTATAACAATACTAAGAGTATTTTAAACTTTGGGTCATATTTATACAACTGTAAAACTTACAAGAAACAATTACAGAAAAGTTTCATTGGCTTTTTACTTTTTTCAAGTTATTTTGTTAAAAAGTGAGTATCTTAGTTTACTTCTTCAAAAGATTGACATGTAATTTTTCAAAATAGCCAGTATTGTTGATTATCCAAAACAAGAGATTACCCTTGTGTGTTTACTTTTTAAATAGGCCAGATAACCTGTATAGCCAGAATTGTCTAACATGTAGTGTCACTTATAGATAGTGATCTAAGAGACCTAGATAGAAGAATTCTAAGACAAAATGTGAGAGTAATATGGCTCAAATATCATAGATCTGTTAACAGTATTTTGAGGCTACCAGTATGATATCGGCTATTCTATCTAGTTTAGTTATTAGTTTAGTTATATTTTTTTTATATATAATTATATTTTTTTTAGTTATATATTTCTTTAGAATAGAAATAGATACAGAGCTTCTTTATTTTATAAAATGTAATTTTTTAAAACTTATAATTGTGACCTGTTAGATTCTTTCTTTTTTTTTCTCACCTCCATATTTCATCTCTATTTTTGTTTTTAGTATTAGTTTTTGTTTATTTCTCTTCTTTTTTAATATTAGTGTTAATATCAGTATTTTTTTTTCTTTCTATTTCTTTACAAGAAGATATCATCAGATTGGTGATATTCTATTTTAGAGTAGTAGTTTGACAGTGCCTATTGAGATAGATAAAATTTCTAGTATAAAACTTATCAAGATGTATTCATAGAGATGTGTCTGCTCAGTACGGCCAATCACTTGTAAATGCTCTCATATGATTAATATATTGAAGTAACTGCAAAATATCAGATCCAAATATTAGCAGCTATTATTTACTTTATCTAGTATTTAAGATTATTAATAAAGAAATACTGGCAAGATAATCAAAGTGAAAAAAAAATAAAAATAAAAGAAAATTAAATAACTTACTAATTATACAATTATGTAATCTAAAAATAATATGATATAATTATCAAGAGATAAGATTTCATATAGTCAAGTCAAGAATATAAATTAATTAGTAAGGTTTTGAATTATAAGCCAAGTTCTTAGATGTATAAAAACTTTTGTCACCTTCTGTATTATAATGATGAATTTTCTGTTTATCTCTATTGTATATTGTAGATAATAGTTATTTGCTTTAAATTAACAACAGTTTCTATTTTCTAGTATATATGTTATAAGTAGAAACAGAATTTAAGTTGATTCAGAATTTTTAAAGTTAGGGTTGTGATTTTTAGTATAATTATTTTATTTTAATTTAAGTAGATTCTGAACTTTATTATAATTCTATTTACACTTACAACATATATACTGATTTTTGATAGTATTCTGTTAGTATTATGCCAATATTCAGTCAGGCTATTGACAAAGCTTGTAATAGAGTTTGTAGCACAGGGTATGAAGCAAGCCCCATGCTTTAAGCCTTCTCTACCAAAAAATTGCAGATGATAAAATTCTTAAAATTCATTAAGGTTAAAAGTTAGCATTTATATTATAGTTAGATATTTGTATAATATCACTAAAATCGTCAGAGGAAATTTTCTATACAGATTTTTGAGTTATAAGCAAAACTGTTATATCCAATCTTAAAATCTGTATATGACAGCAACTTTTTGTGATGATACTGAAGTAGTTCATAATACTTTAGTAATAGAGATGTTATAAGTTCAGCCTAGTTCGACTTAATTCAAAGAGTCAAGTTAAAGTCTGGTTCCAAGTCAAACTTGAAACTGACTTGTATTGTATATGCATTTTGTACATTAAATATAGTACTAAAAGTATATATTAATGTATGAATACATTTTTCTAGATTTAAATATTCAAGATGCACGTGCAATGTGAGTTAAGTTCCAAGTTTGACTTGAGACCAGGTCGAATCAAACAGATAAGATTAGCTAAAAAACAAAAATTCAGCAATCGGCCTGAATTATAGGTTGGATTTCATCAGATTTAGGCAGACATTAAGAAATAACAACAACTAATTATATTACACCAAAATTATCATCTGGGCAGCTTTACTTAGTGAGTAGACTATGGTTTCATTAGCAAAATTTCGAGTGATCTTGGGCAAAATTAATTAATACCAGTGCAATCTGACCCATAATTCAGACTAATCCGCTAATCCATCTGAATCAAACTTTTAATGGGTACCCTTATGTCAAGAAAATCCTGAGCTAAAGATCACTTCCAACTCTATTCGGATCCAATAAAATTACAGGATCTTGTATAACAAAACAAATGCAAAAAACATAAAAAATTGTAAAAAATGTAAATAACACAAAAATTTACTATAATAACTAACTTCTGACCTCTAAATAAAAGTTTTCAAAATAAAATTTTATTTATAAAACACAATTGTTAATGCTAGATATATAGAGAATTTTTGAGATACTACGACCCATATTTTTTTGGCCAGCAGCTCAGGATTTTCTTGATATAAAAATACCCACTTTTAATATCCCCACTCAGTGATCACCTTATCTTTATCATTGAACCGTGATGTATATATATACAGTATATATCACTTATAAACAAATAGTAAAAATCGTAAACAAAAACATGAGTATGGTTCTTCTCCATTTTATTTTTAGCTGCTCTTGAAATTTTATGAGAACAATCTTCAAATGCTAAAAAAATTGGCAAAATAATACCCAGAAATTAAACTGACAACTCCTTTATTAAATAAACCTATAAAGCAAAATATCACATATATAAAAATTTAGGTGCGTCGATAGTAATCGACATGTTATACGACCTGTAATGCACTATTGTACTAACTAAAAAAATCTTAGTGTATTATGCAATTGTAGCAGTAGCTTGTCACATTTTGCATTAATTTTTTTTACGTACTAAGACTTGTTTCATATCTGATATGTTATATACTATTCATAATGATTAGTCACAGAACACGCTTTTTAATAATCAAGTATTAAGAATTATTCTTTAAAATAATATAAGGTGAAAAGGTATTATGGGGGTATTATGACTTAATTGATGATCCACGAATAAATGAGAATTTGTATTAATAAAATCTATAGCAATACATATAAAATATCAAAATCAGCATTCCTGACTAAGTAAAGTCAATTTTTTATTAAGTTAATATCTTGTAAGTTTCTAATGAAAGTTGTAGAACTAGTTTTTGTGATTCTAATGATAGTAAGATCGGTAAAATTAGTTAAATAGATAAAAAGTTATGAGCAATTTAAGGTTAAAAGGTTTTCTAATACTATAGGAATCATGATTCCGACTTAACATTTTTTTACTATGTTTTATTATAAAATTTCCCCCAGTGTTAAGTTCTCGTTTACTCGTGGATCATCAATTAAGTAAGTATTGTGAACAATTAGGAAAAAATAATATCTGCTACATCATTTTGATGCTTGAAATATTTGTGCTTTACTTGAATTTTGGTCTTTCTCGTGGTTTTGCATCCATTCATTTTTATTTAGGATATTTCATTTTTTTCTTAATGCTGTAGGCAATGACCTAACTTTGTAATCAATTAATATTTTATTGAAAGGGTCACCTATATTATTATTTTATATTCGACATATTATGTGAGAAGCTATGTAGGTCACGTAGTAAATTTATATCTTATTTAAATAAACGTTATCGCAAGTTCAATTGACAAGATGAACAATAGATTGTATAAGATAAATGGGTAGATACATTAAAAGTTACTATATTTGGATCCTTAATACGTGTCTAGTGATCATGGTATAAGCACGATACGTCACGTATAGCTACCAAAATTTGTATTTATTTAGATAATCGCAAATGATTTCAGGATTTGGATTTAATTTTTTTATTTTTTGTCCAGTACTGTAGATGATTTCAGATAGTTTGAAACCTTGGCTTGAAAATGAACAGCGAAAATTTGAATCTTTTACCGAAGAGAATTTTCGGGATTTTTCGAAAGCATGTCAACAAGAAGTTGACTGGCTAAAAAATTATTTACGTGACATTATTGTTCGTTCAAAAAAACTCGAGACAATAAATTCGGACACTCGCGATAATATTGGAAGTGCTACTATTTCTAAAGAACGACTTAAAGTACAGCATAGAACTATGAATGTTCCAAACTCAAATATTCCGCAAAATTCACAAAAGGTGGTTCCAAAACGTCTCGTAAAAACAAAACCTGAGATTAAGTCACTGGTGCGAGCCGCTGCTATAAAAAAAGTAAGTTGTAGAATGAACACTCGTTATTTCTTTGATTACTTATATTTTAAATGATAGGAACAAGAAGAACACGAAAAAAAAACGGCTGCAAAAGAATGGGAAACAAAACGTTTGGCCGCTTCGCAACGTAGGCAAGAGGAGCAACAAAAACGCTTGCAAATTGCCAAACAACGTGAAGAAGAATGGAAAAGAAAAGCAAACCTTATTACTGATACAAAAAAAAAGGTGAAATAAAAAAAAATACTAATCCTAATTGTTAGAATATTGCTTATGTATTATTTTGACTTTTTTTTTTTTCCTGCTAGGAGGAAAAAAAACGAATAGATCAAAGTTTGCAGAAGCCATTCGATATCAAAAAAAAGAAAGATGTAGATTTAAATCAAAACAAGCCCGCTCCACATGAAAAAAATTTGACATCATCAGTTACAATAGAAGATTCACAAAGCGAAGATAGCGAGGATGATGATAGTTTTGTGGAAGTGGCTAAATACAAAGATATACGTCCAAGCTGGTGTCAACCTCATAATATAAGGGCTGCTTTAATACGTCAAGCTTCTATTGATCCGGAGACTATTTTTGGCAGCATACAACCGTTGGATATGAGTGGTTCGTATTGTCCCAAAGTTTTGTGTTATGCGGGATGCATATTTATTTCCAATTAATGTACTTACTCTTCTTATTTTCTAGCAATTTTTAAAGGATATGAGCATAAATTCCGTAAACGCACTAGTTCGGCAAATTGGTCGGGCGCTGATGCCCTAACTTCAAAAGAAAAAAACAGAATATAAAATGTATATGGGATATCGTTATTAAACTTTCAATTCTCAAGAATATTCTGGAATAGAGTTTAGAACCGGGTTATAGTAAACCGTGTCACCCGTGTCAAAACGGTTCAACCGAGTCAAAAATTTACGTCAAAAATTTACAACTCGAGTCAAAACGGTTGAATATGTAACCTCTAACAATCTGTTACTATTACACAGAAAACATAAAATTTAACACATTATAAT